TGTTCATTGCAGTGCCATCATTGTGCATGTTCATTGCAGTGCATTCATTGTGCATGTTCATTGCAGTGCCATCATTGTGCATGTTCATTGCAGTGCATTCATTGTGCATGTTCATTGCAGTGCCATCATTGTGCATGTTCATTGCAGTGCATTCATTGTGCATGTTCATTGCAGCGCATTCATTGTGCATGTTCATTGCAGTGCATTCATTGTGCATGTTCATTGCAGCGCATTCATTGTGCATGTTCATTGCAGTGCATTCATTGTGCATGTTCATTGCAGCACCATCATTGTGCATGTTCATTGCACATGTTCAATGCACTTGTTCATTGCACCCTGTTAATTTTGCTCTGTGTTTCAAAGGAGAAATGACCATGTCTGTACCTGTAAGAGCTATACCTTGTGAGCATTTATGATTTAATCACTGCAAGGTCATTTATTATAAAGACTGCTGTCAGAATTATTGATGACTGGAACTATGTCCAGAAATTGGTACAAACGACGCATTATTGTGTCAATTTTCATTTTAATACATTGATTTATACACGATATTTCATGGCTGAGTTTTTAATCTGTTTAATTCTGCCATTCCAGGATGGTTATGTATTCCGCCTACAGGTGGCGTACCATCGAGAGGTGGTTTTGTTAAAGCAGGTCAGAAGTCCTGATGGTACGTTACGATTACAAGAGAATGACGCTTCGGCCACCTTGGAGAAGCAGATTCAACACCTGCCAACACTCACAACTGCCATCCACGGGTAATACTCACTATAGACCCATCATATTTTTAGCATGTGCATGTAATTTTAGTACAGTGTAGCTCCGTTATAACGCGATGGTTGGGGTCCATAAAATATCATCGCAAAAAAGGCGGGGTCGCACTAAATCGGGGTTATATATACCAAGGAGCTAAATATAACAAGGAGAGGAAGCGCCGCCATATCTGGCCCAAATTTTGGTTTGGCAGAGACCCTAGAACAGATTAGTGTTCTATTGTCTCTGGGATCGGTCTGCACAGCCGTTTCAGCTGATTATGGTCCATAGATGGCGCCCTTGAGGCGAAAAGCACACAGCCAGTCCGCTTCCTCTCCTTGTTATATTTAGCTCCTTGACGGACTTGCGGCCCCGGTTTTTGCGCGCAGCGCACAGCTCGCGGCAAAGCCGCGCCCCAACAGCGAATACGCCGCCCCCTTTTTGTCCATTTAGACAGATATCTGAGACAGGGGTCTGAAAACGCACTCCGCGAAAACTGGGCGCAATCCAACCGACATTTCGGGATGGACGGCTTGAGGCCATCTCCAAACGGTCCCTAAACTTTTTTTGGAGTGGCGCGCCTCATGGCTAAGACGTAGTGGCTCCTACAAGAAAATTCCAGAAATGCTGTCAATCAGCGATGACGCGCTCGCTCGTGCGCCCAGTCCCGCGGAAGTGCGCGGCTTAACCGCTCTCGGCGGTCGGGGAACAACGCATCTTTTGCGCAACGCCATCTTGTACCCGGTCTCTCTGGATATATACGTGGCTATATAAGAGCAAAAAAGTGGGTCCAACGACTCATCGCGTTATATCGGGGTTCCAATGTACCCGTACGTTAAATCTTAATTCATTAGTTAATTCATGTTATTTTTACCATTTGTTTGCACGGCGATAAGGCTTTAGAGCTGGCGATGTCTGACACACACGTCACACGTATCATTTTTATCATTCACCTTTGTACATTCTTTGAGCTATATTTTTTGCGAGTATCTTGTTGGTATCCATTTGCTTCATTTTCACTCGTATTCGCCACGCTAAACAAATACAATGTTCGTTACACTACCGACAGGGTTCAGCAGCAGCACAACTCGTACGGGGCGTCGTGTCGTCTCTTCAAGCGATGGGTTTCGTCACAGCTGCTTTCGGACACTGTCACCGAAGAGGCCCTCGATCTTCTTGCCGCGTTCGTCTATTTGCACCCCGCTCCGTACACCGTACCGAGGTACACCGCATGCCTGCACCGGCACGCTTCTTATTTTGCTCTCTTTTTTTGCCAAAAATTACAAAATTTATGGCTATAGAATGCCACATATATATATAAGGCCATTTAATAGCCTGATAAAGAGAGATAACTCTCGAAAGATTGCTGATTAAAATTTAACACCTTATTCTATTTTTTACATTTATTTATATGTATATATATATATTGCTTTGCCTTAGCTCGCCTGTTGTGGGATTCCTACGCACGCTCAACCTGCTCGCACTGTTCGACTGGAAAAATCGGCCGATGATCATCAACTTTAATAACCAGCTGACAGGTAATTAAAAGCATCGGTAAACAGATAAACAGATCTATAATCTACATGTAATATGTAGATTATAGATCTGTTTATTTACGTGGTTATCAACTAGTACAGTACAAACGTTATGCATGTAAATAAAATATGCAGCAGGGTAACTAGCTGCGTTCACACGAGGATTTCAGTTCCGTACTGAGCGTTCACACGCTAAAAATATTCAAGACTTGTACGCGGCTTACTCCGTACCGTACTGAAATACACGGCTTACTCGGCGCGGAAAGTGATTCCTCGCTGACACATTCGGCACCACGCTGGCCACGTATTGTCTGTCGTGTTTCGAATGTAACAAAATTCGAGACCTCTTACTGTAGTGCTCTTACCTAGACTGGTACCCGTTCGCTACACGACGTTGATGTAGCGTGTGGAACTGTCGACCGGGTACCAGTCTATATTATACCTAGCCAGCTAAGCCTCGATTCTCGTGTGAACGCTCCGGGTTGTCTTAGCACGGTATTTCAGCGGAATTCAGCACCAGATAACTACGAAACCAGCGAGGCCATGTATCTCGTGTGAACACAGCTATTATCAGAGATAAATTAACAAAAATGATGACAGTAACAGTTATTTACATTGTTGTCATTGCTATTTTGATGAAAACAATGTGAATTATTGTTCATTGTGTGATACAGGAATAATTCATTCACACTAGTACTAATTTTATTTTGCATCTATTTCTTTCACACTCATGTTTAGGTTCCCCCCCATTTGAAGCGTGGTAAACAGTGATTTGGCCATATCTTTCTCCTTTCCCTTCTCATTACTGTGTAGAAACAACAAAAAGTTTTCTAATTTAGTGTTATATATTGCAATGGTAATTTATGCGTTTCCGACACACACCCATTTATTGTCATAATGGAGAGGCTATTTGCTGACAAAAATCGGTAGTGTAAACGTATCATTAAGATTTCTCGCGTTTTCTTCTGTTTTCATCAGCGTTGCTTCGTGGCAGACGTATTTCATCACAGCGCATGTGTGCAGTACTTTTCAATCAGGCAGCACATGTGCACAGCTAGACCTAGGAATACTTCAGACTCGGTCGTTTGCAACGTGGCATTGCTGTCATAGCCGTGCGCTCTAGACTCTCGTGATGGTCATGATTGTCGTTTCCACAGCGGACGACTACTCTGCGATCCAGGGGGCATTCACGTCGCAGCGAAGCACGCTCGCCGCCATGTATATTGTGACGGCGTACAGCCCACAGGTGGCGCTGTGGACACGGCAGATGCCCAGCCCGCAGCTTCTCGCCCGACTCGTGCAGCTAGCGCAGGCTGCAGCGCCAACACTGGAGCAGCAGCTGCTAGAGGGCGCCACAGAGGTGGACTTCAAGGTGGGGGGCAGTAGGCCGGTTAACACTTGCAGTGTAACACTATTTTGGTGCCATTGACGTGCTTTTAACTTTATCAATTCACAATCCTGGTTATTAAAAATGCGTGGTAACAGAATTGTTGGCCAAATCTACACAATTTACTCCAAATCTTTATATTAACCTGCCTGAAAAAAATGGATGCATTTTTTTCCTAGCACTATTAACAATTTTTGCTTTGTAGTTGTTGCCCTACTTTATTGTACAGTGGATAATATGTATCGCAACAAACTGAACCGTAATTGCCAATGTTCTGGTTTGCCTTGTGCTTGTTTTATGAAATCCTGATAAATGTTACGTATATATCCCTTTTTTTCAATTCCTATATAGAAAGCATTGATAAAAAGCATTCGTAAGTTTCGTTAATGTCCCTGCTTTGAAGAGAATTTTTGCCTTGGTGCTTCACAAACCTGCTATAATGCCCTAAAATATCTGAGTAATACTGCTTAAAGCTGATCAGAAACTTGAGGCAACACTTGTCTTCGAGTTTTCGAATTTTTTTCTTGCCTCTCAAAATGTCACATTCGACCCTGCTGAGCACTGACACATGCGATGATGGTGTTACAGCAAATATTCCGCCCGCCGCTGGAGATGTACGACGTCGTTATTCACCTGGAGGGCAAGTTGCTACCCCGGCGCCACCACGCGGTTGACGTCGCCACGGGAACGCGTCTGCCGTGGCTTAAGCCATACACGAGACACGTCGACGAAAAGATGCCTGTCCTCGACTTCGACCCTGCTCAGTGCTACCTAGCCGAGTTGCGGGTGAGTGTGTGATGTGCCTCCTCGCACCTTCAGGAACACGATCGACCATCGGTAGTTTTGTTCGCGAGCTACGTGTACATCGTCGTTATGCACTCGTGGTTGCTTGATGGTATTTACGCACGTTTGGTGGCGTACTCGTAGCCACGTGCACGTGTCTGCGTCCTTGTGGGTGTGTGTTGTAGTGTTATATTTGTGTGGTTGCGTACTCACGGTGAGATAGGTGTTTGTAGCATAGATGTAGCTAGGTACATATGGTTATGTATCTAGTTACAGGTGTGGCTGTATTTGTTAATGTCTCATTCAGCCAGTGTTTAAGACTTGGATCGATACAATAAAGGGTGTATAGAGACATGAGCCTGACACTCTATGACGTGGTTGCTGCTTGCCTCAATGACTCGCGATTACCCTCTTTTTCAGGAGACGTACGATGCATTTGCTCTGTTTTTCCATGACACACATGGCGGAGACAAAATTGGTGTACTGTGGAAACCTTATGCATTTTGTGCAGCCGAAGCCAAGGTCAGTAAATGCAAGGCGGCCCCAGGTTTCTTTGCAGGTTGAATTCCTAGCGTATGATTCTGAATAACACTTCATTGTTTTTACGAATATAATAACAGAATGAAATATGCTTATAGACTGCAATTTTGGAGGTAATATTCAATCCAATAACATGTTTCAACGTAGGGTAGATATACTTCACTCCCATGCATTGGGTATTATTATGTAATTGAAATAGCTACATCACATGCTAGCTAACTAATAATTAACCTTCATTGTGTAGGTTAAAAAATGTATACCAATTATTCAGTAAATCTTTTATAGTTAATCAGGTTTACTATCATCATAACCCATCACATTGGAATTAGACAAAATATGCAGATGTACCCGTGCCCATATGTATGCAGTTAGGCCAAAATGACAAAATATAAAGTATGATATACATTAATTTCTCCATTTAGGATAGCTAGGAGCCTAAATAATGGTTTGACCTTTTTTTATTTTTACTTAACAGGCATAATAATATGGACAAGAATAATTTTTGGTGAGTACGAAAATGTGTAGCCCCTCACTTTACCATATGTTGTCTGTTCTTTGTAGGTATCTCACTTCAATAGCCGAATTCCTGTGGCTGAGAGTGGTGGCAAGTTGGCCCCTAATGTCGAGGCCATTATAGAGGACTTTGCTACAATTGGAAAGGGCTTGGTGAAGACAATTGACTGCAGGACTGAACAGTGGGTGTAGGAACAGAAGGACTGGTCTTACAACGTACGAATGCTACGTTTATACTACATTTATGTTTTGACCATCAAGTTGAGCAACTGAGTATCGTGTGCGAACTGAAAATTTAATAAACAGGTTTTCTATGCCGTTTTATTTTTTGTCTTGCAACTTGATTAAATGTTAAATCAGAAATCCAAAAGTCTCTTGTGGCTGTGTCTATGAGGGTTTCACTTGATTCTTTGGTTTGAGGAACGAGATGATGCGTGCCGTTGTTAAGGTAAAATGGTAGATTGTCATGAAATTGTTTTGTAGTCTGTATAAAAGGCAATACATTTACATTAGTATCTGAAAATGTGTAAATATTATGTATAATATGCAAAGCAGAAAAGAAAGTAATGAGAAATAAGACATAACGCTGGTCATGATTCATTGCCTAGCATGCAACCACACAACCATGCAAAAGCGGACGCTACATAAAACCATATGGCCCTGAGCCTCTGTTATATCCTTGTTATCATAAGCCTAAATTTACCTGCACTCAGCTTTTATAGTTGTAAAAAAAAGATACGGCATTTTAGACTCATGACAGTCGTAATCCATTCTGCTACCTACTTTGTAGTTTTGTGTAGCATGCTAGGACATACGTAAACTAGTAAACAGAAGAAAGGTGTCGCAGATCAACTATCCTCATCTTTCACAGCCATGCTACACAGCACTCGGGCTTTTTTAACTCCTGTGGAGCTGTTATATTTGACTTACGTGTAGTGGCATTCACTTATTCGCAATATCATGCGTTCGTGCGTGCGCGCGTGTGCGTGCGTGCTTGTCTTATTTGTGCACCACATCCAACATAATATTGAGTCCCCGAGCCCCCTCCGTAACCTTTTCGCGTTATTCTTGAATTATAAGTAAATAAAAAACCAAGTATGACCACAATTATGCATGGGGCTCGCCCATTTACTAATGCGTAATTGAATAATAAAGCTCAAATTCAGAAATTATCGAACAAACGTACAGCCTCTTTATTTCAAAATGCGCACGGATCATGTATCGTCCTGGTCCCATCACAGAAAATGCACACTACAGTAAAATACGTTTGAATATTAATAAAATATCCAGATTAATTCCTATGAAACAGTATTTAAGTTACAATTGCGTGTTGGCTGGTACGCGGTTATTTTAACAATCTATAACTCTCTAATAGTGGTGACCGCGATCGTCGATGGTAAGCGTAAGGTGATGGCTAAGCTTGTATATGTACACTTTGTTATGTATGGCTCCATGCTATCAATGTATATGCAGACACTGCTTAAGTGATGTAACAGAGGTACCAGCCTATGCCGTCCTCAGTAACAAGATGTTGCGTATTGCACATATATAGCATGTAATCGGCTGCTTTTAAACACACGGATAAACAAATGCCCAAACATGCGAGGCGAGTGCTTCCGTTAATGATATGTATGAACATATTTCTACACGAAAGCTACTTTACTGAAGATCACGAGTGATGTTTTCCCCGCTTCGGAAAGCAAAACGTTGCATCTTTTCGCTGCCTCTTATTTGATACTTAGGTCTACAGTATAGACCCGTTTATGCTCCATGAGTACATTACAATCGGACGTATTTAATAAGCGCGATATATTTCTGAAAATCGTACATATAATCATCAACTCCTACAGTTATTATTCTTCGACTTTGATACGCAACCAGACGAGTGGTTTTGGATTGCACTGCTTATATGTAAAAATGGCAAAGTAGTCTACATCGAGCCATGTAAGTCCTGCAGGCAGATCTAGAATGACGATTTTGTCTCCGTTGTATGGTCCAATGCCATTCGTGTCGCTGAAATTTTTTTTTAATTCAATTAATCGATGTTACAATTACCGTACTCGAATTATATGGTCTTTCTATATCTGTGCGCTCTATCCCTCTCTCAACTCTCTCTCTCTCTCTCTCTCTCTCTCTCTCTCTCTCTCTCTCTCTCTCTCTCTCTCTCTCTCTCTCTCTCTCTCTCGTTCTTCCCTCGCCTCGCTTTCTCCTTCTCACCTTTCTTTCTTTCCTTCTTCCTTTTCCTCCTTTTGTCTAACCATTTCTCTCGCTCTCCCTCTACACCTTGCTCTTTTCTCCCAAAACACATACGTAATAACAGGCATCCCCTCTTAGTCTCGCTCTCCTTCGCTCGCTCTCTTTTCTCTTCTCTCTCTCTCCTCTCGTCTCTCTCGGTCTCTCTCTCTCTCTCTCTCTCTCTCTCTCTCGTCTCTCTCTCTCTCTCTCTCTCTCTGCTTCTGTTTTATTTTTGTTCTGCCTCTCTACTCTCAATTCTTAAGTCTCCCTGTGTGTGTGTGTGTGTGTGTGCGTGCGTGCGTGCGTGCGTGCGTGCGTGCGTGCGTGCGCGCGCGTGCGCGCGTGTGCCTCGCTCTATTCTCGGTACTTACAGCTCGCCATTTTCATCAGGTACGATCGACACGATGTTTTCCTTCGTCGGAGTTTCTCCCCCTGATTTTCCCACGACGAAGAAGGTAGCTGCAACATTTAAAAACAACGGTATTCATCATCTACGGACAACTTACAGACCGCTTATCGTCCAAACACGTAGCAAGTATAGACATAGCGTCGCCATAGTGATCGCCGATTCGTAAATACTCTCCGGAAAACGCGACTGCATTCGAAGCTGCATAAACATCTTACACTCGTATTTTCTGTTGTAGCGTAGGCCAGCGATGCCCACTGTCGACGCGTTGAGCGTGGCTAACTCGGTACTGGAAACGCCGTCTCCCTGCAATGCAAAATGCCACATATATTGGCACTGGTTGACAAGCCAACACATAATGACGAGATTATTCGTGGAGATCGTCGATTGCAGAGACCGGCATATATGACCTACGCAGGAAGAATGCGAATTGCAAGGGATAGGGATAGAGAAAGAGAAAGAGAGCGATAGACGGCAGGTGTTACATGGTTGGAGCCGAGACAGAGGTACAGGAAGGGAGCGAGAGTGAAGTGCAAGAAGCGAGAAGCGATAGGGATGTAGAATTAGAGGGCGCAGGAAAAGTGGTCGAAGAAGGGGACAGAAAGCGGAGGGTAGAGTGAGTAAGTGAAAGAAGTGGTAGTAAGAGCCACCAGACAGAGTGATGTCGAATGGTAAAGATATTGGTGGGAAGAAGAGAGGCGAAGACCCTTAACAGGTTTGAGGTGCCATAAATATAATTTCAGTCCAAGGATTGTAGCATCTACACTATTATTCTACATATTCTTATTATGCAGCATAGTAGTATTTATGTAGTGTAAGTAGTATATGGGTAGTAGTAAGTATACTCTACATCCTATGACTCCTATAACTACGTGACTTATGACAGTGATGCGTACTTGCAAAGATGTAACGCCCTCTGGTGGTACAGGCCGGAGAGCCTCGCCAGGGAAGACGGCGCTAGCGAGGTCGGTGTTGGTGCTTCTACACCAGAGCGATAACCACTGCAGCTGAATCGTCTCCACTCCGTCGGGAAGCAGCAGTACGATGTTCTGGCCATTATAACGTCTTCGCAGTGGTTGCAGGCTGAAGAGAAATGTCGTCGTTAATTGTTACACGAGTGTGCACACTCATCCCGCTCTGCGTCGTTAATTGTATCGTGTGCTGTAGGCGGGAGTGAAGCTGGTTTGGACTTGGACCCCAGATATACTACTCCGTCGGATATGTGTCACAGTAGGCAGCGTGAACCTTTGAGATGGATAGGGCGCTAGCGATACCTCAGACCCCCCAACCTTCCGCTGCGTTACAGCACCGTGTTCCATAGACTGGTGTATATCTAGCTAAGACATCAGACGTTATAGTAGGTACCCGAAGCAAGTCTTAGAAGGGACTTCATAGTGTTTATGTTGCACGTAACGTTCTAATCGGTATATAGTCAGATCATATCGATCTCGCAAATCGATAGAACTACGTCGGTTAGATATTCACATATTTATTATATTTCTCATTAGCGTCAATACATACCACAATATACAATAACTTGTCGCAATTATGCATAGATAAGGCATATATACATATATGCATATATGCATATATAAACACTATGGCAAGGCATAGTAGACACAACTTCGTTAGACAAAAAGCGCCTGAACACCCCGCAATTAGATGAAGATAAGAATAAGACGCAGTGAATGATGGAATGTTAGCGCCAGTAATAACAGTTTTCATTAAGTGACTGTACCTTTTGTTTTCGTCCGGAACTTGTATGCCGAACTCGCCTGGACATTGCTGAATGGCTCCCGATTTCTGATTAGCGAGCAGCTCGGATCGGTGGTCATGTACACCGATGTAGAACACGGGATCTGCAACACGTAATTAATGCAGTATAATGAACAGCGTATAACTCCGTGCAAACACCACGGGCCCATTATCAGAAACAGCATGTAATTAAGTAGTCATGACATACAAGTTTAAAATAACGCACGTTTTGCAGTGACGTGTCTTGCAGAAGTTATAGCATTTCTGTTTTATAATAGTCGTAATACTATTTACGTTTCTGGTAACTAGCGCAGTGTATACGTATTGTTGTTCGCGGCTATTAGTCATAGCCAAGAGATGATGTTAGCTAATAATGCTCGTATGGTGATTACCAAATCTAGATGCAGTCTTACCTCTACATGATTCTCTGAATGGGTCGAAAACAAAGCCGGACAACCCTATCTGCTTGCGGTCTATACCGTAGATCTTTCCTCGTATTCCGCTTGGAGAGAAATTCCTCAACTCTCCCAGAAACAATAGCGACCCTGTAGAAATAAGGTAAACGAAACAATGATTAAGGTTAACCGTGTATTTTTCGTAATGTCATTTGAAACCGATGGGGTTTTAATATTGACGTTGTGATACAAATGTGCTAACGTCGCGGTTTATATGATCAAAGGTGCTTGCTTGTGTGATATTATATTATTCGTTTAAGGGTATTATCTGTTTTTATCCGTTTTGATACTATGCATAATGATAGAGCTTCGATCAGAGGTCTCAGAGATCTTCTGGGTATCTCCGTCTTCGGCACTGTTTCTTGGACTTATTATCCTTGAAGATTAATCCTTGTGAGCTAATAGAGTTATAAGGCGTTACTATGCTACCACTATGCTAGTACTACGTAAGTTTCAAATAGCCGACCTGGCTATGCGAGTTGCGCGCCAATATTCACTCAGATTTACTAAATCCTGAAGCCCATATCAATAGTATTCAGGAAATGCAAAAAATACGCGGGAAATGTTATTCTCTTAGGGCAGTGGCACTCGTCCAGGGATGCATGCACACAGTGGGGTTACAAAAATGTCAGTTCCAGATAAAGTGTCCCGAGTGGTTCAGTTACAAAGTTAGTGACCTTTGATTTTTCCTACTGGGGCACAATTTCTTGGACTACCAAACTCTCCAAGACGATCTTTTAACTGTAATTGCAGTTTTACTGCGAAAATGAAATAAGAATATAATCCTCTACTTCTAATAATATCTGATTTTTGGTGTTTGGCACTGTCAACACTGTCACGGTGTTTGGCAAGGAGTGCAATGCATATAATAATATATATTTTAAATGCTGAAACACTGCGGTCCCAAAAAGGGCAAGAACCCACACTGTCTCCGTACACGCAGTCGAAAACAGGTTAGGCACTGAAATGATATACTCGTTAATAGATAATTATAGTTGTTCCTACCCTTTGTCGTTGAGCCGGGTCGAGGAGTCGTTGCTCGTGGGACATTGTTGGTCGCTCGATTCGTGTTGAGGATGCTTTGTCGTTGTCCCAAACTTAAGCCGCGATTGGGCGCAGGTCGTGCTAGCGTGGAGAACGATGGAAGCGGCCGCGAGCTGCTGCTAGTGATAGACAGGGAACCCTGCCGCTGACCGCTCTGCGGACGAGACGCAAGCTGCGTTGAACTGAACTGTTGCTGAGATCTTACTTGTGCAGACGTACTTGGTACGAGGCGCTGACCGCTAGTCTGTGTCGAAAAGCTCTGCCTCTGCGCTATGCCGCGGCCATTGGTATTCTGTCCGAACTGTTGCTGACCAGTCCTACTAGCAGTACTCTGTCCGAATCTTTGTTGATCTATTCCACCTATAGATGTGCTCTGTCCAAATCTTTGTTGACCTATTCCCCTTCCAGATGTAGTCTGTCCGAATCTTTGTTGACCTCCCGCCTGTGTTAGTGTTGTTTGTCCAGACTGTTGTTGACCCGTCCCTCTTGCTGTTGTACTCTGTCCGAATCTTTGTTGGCCTGTTCCGCTTCCAGATGTAGTCTGTCCGAATCTTTGTTGACCTCCCACCTGTGTAAGTGTTGTTTGTCCAGACTGTTGTTGACCCGTCCCTCTTGCTACTGTACTCTGTTCGAGTCGCTGTTGACTTGTCGTTGCTGCGGACCCCGTTCGTTGCTGCTGGCTGCGCGTGGGCGTAAGCCGGCTGTTCAATGGCTCCGAGTCCTTGCCGGACCGGTCAAGTGCCTGGCGTACGATTGGCGTCGGCCGCGTCGCCGGCGCCCGGACGCGCGGCTGCGACTGAATCCGCGACAAGTCAAGGCGGCACGTCCTGAAGTTGACCTTCGGTCCGACGACAGGCGTCTGCTCGTGCTTGCTGATCGTCGGCAGCTCGGGCTTGCTCGTGTCGTACGTGCCTGGCTTGTGCGGGAAGACGAGGTGCACGCCGTTGAGCGTCAGGTCGTTTATGAGGCCGGTGCGAGGCTTCCAGAAGATAAGCGTCTGCACGCCGTTGGCCAGACGCGCCTCGTCGAACTGCAGGTCGTTCGATTCGGCGACGACCGGCGGCCGGTAACCGGTGAGGAACCTGCAGGTGACACGCGGCTAGAGTTAAGGACAATGCACGATTGATCGGTTGTCACGATGTCACACAGCGTGTAGAACAGACGCGTGCCCCGTCCTACTAGTGGACGCAGATATATAACGAATAGAGAACTATATTACAAAAGAATGTGATAATGCTGCTGCTGCTGATAATGATGATGATAATAATAATGATAACAATAAAATTAACTATTATTATTATTATTATTATTATTATTAGTATCATCATTATTCTACACGTGGCGGCCCGTCATTGAGGCCAACTAGGCGGGCACTCAAAATAGATGCCACGGTAGGTGAAGCGCTTAACCCGACGACAAAATTTCCGAATTACCGATTCAACAACATCCTTTGCCTGGGCGCGCCTGGTGTGGCTATAGTCTACGCCCGCCCGTGATTGCTAATATCTCCAGGAGTCTATCAATAGATTAATTGATAGACTCCCAGCTGATATCTCGTACGCTTACCCGTCAAAGAGCCTCGCCAGGCCGTCAGGTGTCACCCAGCCGAATGCGATGTCCGTATCTTTCTGCAACGCACAGAGAGAGAGCGCAAATTGTAAATGTTATTCACACACACATTGAAACTGGCAATCTAATCACAAAATAGTCCAGCCAACTAATATGCAACAACGTGGAATTTGTGACATATTTATACGAATAATCACTAATATATATATATATATATATATATATATTAGTGATTATTCGTATAATAGTTTGTATATGTCCCATAATATTCCACGAGAGTTATTCCTAATTAAAGGATTACCAAATCTTGACCTCTAACCCATCAACAAGGTCAATAAAACGACCCCACCCCAAATACCTGTAAGGGTACAGAATCGCATACTGCAGTTACACTTTGATAGAATATGCCTCAGCCAATCACCTTGTTCAGTACATATAACACCTCCATCCCAACCCGAACCACCCGCAAGCGATTTCAATTTCACTCGAGCTACTTTCGGAGAGAGAGCCCACCTCAACCAATAAACCTGTCGGTGTAAAAACCAACTCACTACCGCAAGATCTGCCACGATCCCAGTGGCTCATGGGTGTAGCATAGATCACCCTCTCTCTCTCTCTCTCTCTCTCTCTCTCTCTTTCTCTCTCTCTCTCTCTCGGAGGCAGAGTACGCATAATAAGCGTTTGTCTGTCTATACCTACCATGCGTCCGTTCTTCGAGAAGCCAACGCTCACCCACTTGCCCTGCGGCACCGTGATGGTGAATTTGACCCTATCTTGCAGCGCCTCGTAGATCCAGTGTATGGCGTAGTCGCATTGCGACGCCGGACACGCCTCCGGGTACGACCAGTAACCCTCGCACGACGCAGCGAAGTTACGTGGTCCCGGCGCTGTGAGAGAAAACGCCAGAGGTCACGCGCACGCCCAACCATCAACCCGATGGCAAACAGCGCCTAGCAGCCAATGTTCAACGGCTAACCATGCAGTCTCTTAGGACAATAATGTGTTCGGTGGGCAACAGCAAAATGCGATTTTTTATGTAATAAGATCGGTCCCTAGAATAGTGTTGCAGAGTAGTACAGTCGCTGGCTATCGCATGGATGCTAGCCTGCTGTTCGTATAAATTTTTCGCTCGTACATAGGGTGTGTAAGTTGGGTAGAAATTTGATTTTGTCAGAAAGACTTGTTACTTTCGATTAGTACCTGAAGTAATTGTGGTAGCACAAATAGAAAAGTTCCCCCGGCATGTGGCATCAAATACTCAAACGCCGGGGCTGCCGCAAGGTGGCGTTCGTCGCAAGGAAGCGCAGCGACGCGGGCAGACGGTGGAACTATCGTCTGCGAGTTAACGGCGGCTGTACTGTCGCGCCTCACCATGAACAGAGCGTTTAACGGACAACTTAACCGGAAACTTACGTTCGAATGCCGGCGTTGTCGGGCGCACCACCGGTGCCTCTGTTGTCGTCGTCGGTCTGGTGGTCGTCGTCGTCGTCGGTGGCGGTTGTGGTCGCCCTGTTCGTGTCGGCACCGGCCGGGGTCGTCGTCGGCCCGCTGAGATTCTCTGAAGGCGCTGCTGGTGTGCAACCAACGACTGACGTCGGCGGAAGGGACGCCTTGTCGGCGGCGCCGTCGTCACTTCCGTCGTCGGCTCCGTAGGTATCTCCGTCGTCGTCGCGTCGGTCGTGTATACCGTCGTCGGATCGGTCGGTCGAGGCGTGCGCGTTCTCGGGCGCCGTCTGGTGGCCGGTAGTGGCCGTCTGGATATTCGCTGGTGCGAGCGCCGGGTGGAACCTATTCTCTGCGCCACGCCGGTGACCGGCCGCGAGCCGAAATCAACCGGCGCTGCGATGGGCCCCGGCGTAGGGCGTGTTGATGGCGTCTCGACCGGCAGGGACTCCCGATAGGTGGAGCCACGTGTAGTGGGCCGCGGCGTGGCACGTGTAGTGGGCCGCGGCGTGGCACGTGTAGGGGGCGTCTCGAACGGCAGGGACTCCCGATAGCTGGACCCACCTGTAGTGGGCCGCGGCGTGGCACGTATAGGAGGGCGGCGCGTGGCACGTGTAGGGGGCGTCTCGAACGGCAGGGACTCCCTGAAGATTGAGTCACGTGATGAGTGTTGCGAGCCGCCAGACTTCGACAGCAGAATATTGTCACGCCGCGACGTGTAGGTGGAGCCACCTGCGCGCGTGCCTAACGCCCGCGCCGACGCCCGTGTATTTGACGCTCGCGCCACCTGTGTCTGGACGCATGACGTGAAGTCGACTTTCGGCCCTATGACCGGGGGCTCGTGATGCTTGCTGACGCTTTCCGACGAGGCATCGTAAGGACCGGGCTTCGTCGGGAAGACGAGGTAGACTCCGGCGAGGTCAAGGTCGTCCTGACCGCCGAGCCTCGGTTTCGTGAACTCGATCGTCTGCCGATTGCCGCTGCGACTAGCCGAGATCAGCTCGAGGTCTTGCTGCTCCCCCGACCGCGGCACCGAGTACGTGTACAGCCAGCTGTAGCAGCAACGAGAGAGACATCCGGTGTCAGTGCAAGAACACAATCACGGAACTACGGGCCTCACGGATGTACGTGGTACTTAGATGACTAGGAGTTACCAAACTTACAGAATCCCAGGACAGTACATGGGATGTGGATGTCGTAGGCCTATAGGTTATGAGATCTGACATTTTTTAATATATGAAATCAATTGTGGAAGTATTACGACAAAGAATCTAAGCCAAGAAATGGTGCAAATCCACTTTAGGCACCTTAGGTATCACGAAGTGATGCACAGATTTCTGTGTATCATCAACTGATGCACAGACTTTCCGTATATCAAGGAATGATGCAAAAACCCTGCATCACTTCGTGATGCCTAAAGTGCCTAAAGTGGATTTGCGCCCTAAGAAATTAAGTTGGAGAAGCTAAAGAAAACTGTATACCCATCGATTAGCTTGGCCTCGTTCTGCTCGTTTATCCATCCATAGGCGAGGTCTGTGAAAGGCTGCAAAAATAAAAAATAGTGGCCCAATCAATTGTCGAATAAATTAGTTAATTAAGATCTCAATCATTACGCTAATCGATCTAAAAATTTGGGCAATTTGAGTATCACTTCTATCAGTGACACAGTTTTAATATCCAGCATGGTTTCTAGGTATATCACGTGATCTGGAATCATCGGCACCAAACATTAACTATAACTATAAGTATAAATACACCCTTTTAACTTATCGTTTTATGATATCAAACACAAAACGCGATTTACAAATTATGAAGCAACATGTTATTATATAATATTAAATTGTATTTGTAGCCGTAGCATGCGCGCGTAGATTGCACGCACGCAGCTGCCATCAGCTTTCTGCGTACCATGAATCTGTTATTCGAGAATCCGAGGCCTATCCATCCGGTAAGCGTGTTGACGCTGACACTGAAGCGCACCCTGTCGGTGGCTGGCACGTAGTCCCACGTAGCCGTGTATGAACCGTCGTCAGCTATCCACGATCCCGAGCATGCGTCGTGACCTGTACGCACAGACAGCAGATGACTGAGTCAATGGTGCAACATGGATCCATGAATGGATGGTTGGGTTGAGGCATACCTAGATGGATGGATGAATGAATGGATGGACGGGTGGATGGATGGATGGACGGACGGGCGGACGGACGGACGGGCGGACGAACGGACGGACGGACGGGCGGGCGGACGGACGGACGGACGGACGGACGGAGGGACGGACGGGCGGGCGGACGGACGGACGGACGGACGGACGGACGGACGGACGGACGGACGGACGGACGGACGGATGGATGGATGAATGGGTGGGTTAGTGGATTGATGGATGGATAGATAAATTGATTGATTAATGGATAGATGAATAAATGAATGAATGAATGAATGAATGAGTGATTGAATGAATAAATGTAATAATTAATTAATGGGTTAATGGACGGACGGGCGTACAAATGAAGAGACGGATTGATAGATGAACTGACGAATAGGCGCACGGATAGATGAATTGACGAATAAACGAACGGAGAAAAAATGGACAAATTTATCTGATACTGGTTCGGTTTCAAATAGTTCTTTTGCTTTTACTAGATTTCGTGTGGGCGTGCTTGTCGTTGTTTATCTAAACTCGCCATGACGGCAGCTGTCGTCACCACCTTACCTGTTGCAGACCGCTGGCTGGACGACGACGACCTCTCATTAGACTGTCGCGACGTCGACGACGTGCGCGCTCCCTGCACCTGGATCAACTGCGGCGTGTTTAGCTTCAGGGCGAACGGATCCTGACTATCCTGCTTCGTATCGGTAACCTCGGAAACGGCGCGCTGCAGCTGACGCTCCGTCGCTTCCTGTAAGAACCGTCGGGAGACGACATCCGCGTCGTCTGTGACGCGCCGGGGGGATGCGACCTTCGTCGCTCGCAGCGCGACGACGTCCGCATCCGGCACTTTCCGCGGGACGACTTCCGGGTCTTTGCGACGCGCGACGACGTCGGTCGTCTGCGAACGCGCGACGCTCTGCAACGATTCGCCGACGCTCGACGTCGCGCATGCGCCGAAGTAGACCTTTGGACCGATGATGGGCTGTGCAAGATGCTTGAAGATGCGCGAGTAGTCGGCGTTGTAGAGGCCTGGCTTGGCGGGGAACATGAGGTAGACGTCATCAAGCGTCAGGTCCTCGGGCTCGCGAGCGACGCGGGGCTTCCAGAAGGAGAGCGTGTGACGGCCGTCCTTCTTGCTGAAGGTCACCATCTGAAGGTCGTTGTGCTCGGACGTGCGCGGATGCGCCTTCACGGAGATCCACCTGTGCGGAGACGACGAGAGGAATGGTGTATTCAAGCGCGTGGTTTGCGATGGCGCACATTTATTCGTTCAGTCACCGTATGTATATACGGTATTATATACGGTATTCGATATGCTGAAACTTCGCTGGTAAAATTCGAGTCGTAATGCAGGGGAAACGCGTCTAGTGAGCCAATATTTTTTTTATCTTTTTTTGAAGTTGTACTTATTTCACGCGATAGAGGTTTAGTACCTGTGGGTCGGTGAGTTGTGGTGATAGGGATGCGAGAATATGCTGGTGTGGAGTAGATGTTTACGTGTGTGCGTTCGTGTGTGGTGTGTGCGTACGTGTATGCATGCGTGCGTGTTATGCGTGCATGTCGGTGTGCGCTTGTTCGTACTGCGTGTGTGCGTGCGTGTACGTGCGCGTGGGTTTATGTGTACGGTCACATAAGTTGATGTTCAGTTGATGTTTGTAGGTGGGCAGTTATGAGCATAATGTGCTTAACATCAGAATGAAGGCCACAACAGGACAGGTAATTTATTGAGATATATGACATCATCTACACGCACCCGTCAAAGAGTCGCGCCTCCGTGTCCGTGTTCACCCAACCGTAGGCAACGTCTGTCGCTGGCTGCAAGAAAAAGAGAGATGACAGTCGGTGTTACTTCACTGTAGACCTAACTATACGCTTCGAATCCCGCATAATGTAATGAAACTAGCAGCTCTATGCATGCCGATACGCTGCCGCCGTAGCGCACCGTAACAACCCGATACCGATACACTTCCGCCCCCTCGCACCATATACGGATGCCGATATCGATACCAATACCAAAACTGATACCGATACCGATACCGATACCGATATTGATACCGATACACTTCCGCCGTCTTTCACCATACGGATACCGATACCGATAACAATATTGATATCGATACACTAACGTCGTCACGTACCGTACCGCTGCCGATATAGATGCCGATATACTGCCAGCCGTCACAAACCGCACAGACGCGCATATGACTCCCTTATACGCCGTATTATTACTGCTACTAACCAGCGGCATATTGCCATTAACATCAAAAATGGTTATGACGTCAAAACTATGACATATTAGACTTATAACAGTCATAACTATTTAAAATGTGTCAGAAAATGGGTTACAGTGTACCTCAGATATCACTGCAGTCTAAATAGAAGGTAGAAGTTAAATAAAAAATGGCCCGCTCTGCCGCAGGATATAAACAATTAATAAAGATCTCGACATCTCTCCTCTCCCTTCCAGATTACCATTCATTCTCTTTTACTTCACTCTCAGCTTCGCTCGTTCTCACCTCTCCCTCCCATTTAGAGTGTTTTCCCTCTCTCTCTCCCCCCATCGTTTCAATCTACGTCCCATCTCCGATCGCTGCTCCCTCTCTTCGCCCTCATCACCCATTCTCTCTCACTTTCTCCTCTCCCGCCTCTCGAACCCCCTCTCCCCCGCCCATTACTCAATGCCACCTCCGCTCCCATCACCCTTCCAACTCCACATACGCGCACACACCTTCAACGAAGGAGCGCTAATCGGAATATGAAAGCTGCGCAGTGAGTTAATTACCCACAACGGCGTGCGTGCGTGCGTGCGTATGTGTGTGTGTCGGTACGCCACCACGGCCGTCTGCCACGGCAGTGGGTCAGACAACGAATGTGGCACCGGGTGTCGCGTCGTTCTTCACGCGACATCGGACATAACTGTCATTGAGCGAGCAGCACCTCACTTACATATCTGCGGCTTACTTACCCGCGAGGATGCGCCATGCATTCATCGGATGCACAGCCTTGTGATTACCGATTTGCCTTGTCAGTGAAAGTGGCGTAAGAGCGGGTAACGCCCGCGCGCGCGCGTTATGGTGGAAAGGGGAAGGGGAGAGGGAAGGAGGAGGAGGTGCGTACACATCACACGCGTGATTAGACTCAACAGTCCAGTTAGCGCGCGGCATCCGAACACACGGGCCGACTCGTAACGATATACGGTACGACACGAGACAGCACAGCTAGCATGCATTCAATGGTCACGTGGAATTAGTTGGAGCAACAACAAGCTAGCGGCCTAAATTTACTAGGTAGCACAGTAGCAGTTGAATAAACAAGTTGGCACGCGCATTAATTTGCCGCGTAGGAGCCTCGGACAATGAACGAAACCGGAACTCGGAAATAACGGGCGCATTTCAATTTTTGCCCAGCTTCAGAAATTTAGATTAGGCCTACATTAGGTTAGGTTCATTACATTTACAAAACGGACAAGGCTGCTGCCTAGGTAAATATCATTTATAGATCATAGCCTAGCATATGTTATGTCATTATATCGTTATATCAGTACCTCATTCGTGTTCGTGCGTCATAATTCAGCTATACTCATACCCAGTAATCGTACTCTGCGAGTTACTATATGTCCGTGTTATACATTCTCAAATATCGCGTGAATGATACCGTTATTGAACGGAAATGAATCATACACTACAGTTAGGTACGATTCGGAAACGCGGCAAAGCTGCTGTCACCTTTAATCCGGGTTTTGTTCGAGTGCCGAATAACGCAAGATCCAGGTTGTTTCGGTGGCCTATAGTTCAAGCAATCATCACGCACATTGCGGCGTCGACGTAATCTCCCCCCAACCGCCCACTTAACAAACACACACATACACACAATACATATTGCGTGCTATTTGAATGCGCGAGATTGTAAGTCAGTAGTACAAACCACGAGACGTGCGTTCAGATAAGTAAACGTGACGCGCGCCCACCAATCACGATGCAGCAGAGCGGCGGCTGCTGGGTAACGGGTTGACCCACATGGCGTGCCCGCGCCGGCGCACGCCGGCCAACGATATGGCCGCTGACACGATAACCGGATTTCGGAAAGAATCGAGCAGAAATTATTTGAAAATTAAAAGCTTCGAGAAATTGCCGCCGGCACGACACGCCGAACTGGCGCGCCCCGAACGCACACCGGATGTGCTCGCACGCTCTTTCCGTTGCTGCGCTCACCATGTATTTGTCCTTGGAGAATCCGATTCCGACCCATCTATCCAGATTCGCCGTGCTGATCGTGAACTTGACCCTGTCTCTAATGTCATCGTACTCCCAGGTGGCGTTGTACGCGTTGTCGGGAGATTTCCAGGAACCGGAACATTGCTGGCCTGTTTGGGAAGACAATAACGCGTTAATCAGTGTCACATTTTAGATAGTTAACTAACCTTATTTGATATATCTATCTATCTATCTATCTATCTATCTATCTATCTATCTATCTATCTATCTATCTATCTATCTATCTATCTATCTATCTATCTATCTATCTATCTATATATCTATCTATCTATCTATCTATCTATTTATCTATCTATCTATCTATCTATCTATCTATCTATCTA